TATCGGTGTAGTGTTATTTGTGTTTTATATTAGTCTTGGCTGACGTCATGGTGCTGGTCTAGGGAAATTGTCCTAAAGTGGGGAGATGGGGTGGGGGAGGTAGTAGGGTGGGGGAGGTAGTGGGGTGGGGAGGTCGTGGTGTGGGGAGGTCGTGGTGTGGGGAGGTCGTGGTGTAGGGAGGTCGTGGTGTAGGGAGGTTCAGAGGACCAGTCTCCCGAAATTCACAGTGATACCTTTATGCAGAAGGAAAACCCATCCATTAGTAACCAATAATGCCCAGATAGAATACAAAAGCAGAGGCACCCTCCTGGGCCTGCATATATCCACGACAGGTTACTCCCATCATGTCCACACCAGGAAGGAAAAGGCAAGAAGAAAACTGAAAAAAACTATACCGCTTTAACGCGCTTCCTGAGGAAATAAAACTCCGCCTGGTTACATCATTTATCATACTGATAATAACTTACCCAGCAATACCTCTTCATACTATGAGCACCACTCAAGTATTAAAATTACAGGTGGTCCAAAATGAAACCCTGAGATTCGTCACAGGTGAAAGATACCCCTTCACCAGAACCACAGCCGAGATACAAAGAGACCTGAGAATGAAACCCATCAACCAGCAGCTGCACACCCTGGCTAGCAGAGTCTGGCAAAAGATAGAACGATCAGAGCAAGAACTCCTTCAAAGACTCCTACCAAACAAAGACAACCACCATACATGGTTCCCAATAAGTTAACAAATCTAAAAAGATTATTACCACCCCCGATCTATACGGCCAGGCAATAGAAAACCTCCCTAGACCAGCATCCGCCACTAGGGTCGGCGGAATATGAAATAAGGCCCTTAAAACACCCATATATGGGACAGGGTAGGTTGTCTAGTGCCTGTACCGACAAACAGTAACTAACCCATGACACAACCCTAACCTCTAATCTTCTCTCACCTCTTACTTATCTACAAAAAAAAATAATGTAGGAGCTAACCCAACCCAACCCATTAACTAGTCAACTCAGAAGGAAACAGTTATTAAAGAAGAAAATTGTGCACAGAGAAGAAAGAAGAAAGAAGAAGAAGAAGAATGGAGACAGAATAAATCAGTAATAAATAGGATAATAGAATAAAGGCAGAGGTTCCCAATTATATTATTTCTTGTAGAGGATAAGAGGAAGTAATTGGAGGACCAGGGAAGGATGCAAGAGGGAGAGAGGATAACGATAAACAGACACAGACAGAAATAAGAGAAAATGTCAGAAAATGAGAGAGAAAGAAGAGAGGGGGAGAGATGATAGAAATAAAATACAGTTAGAGAGAGAAGGGAAAGAAAGAAATGGAAATATGATAGACATAAGAGAGGAACAGAAATAAAAAAAAGAGTTAGAGATAAAGAGAAAAAACATATATTTAGAGAAATCAAGAGATAGAGAGAGCAAGAGAAAAAAATAGAAATATAAGAGATTGGGAGAAACAAATAAAAGAGAAATTAAGAGACAAAGAAAAGTAGAAGTTTGGAAGAGAGAGAAATAAGAGAGATAAGAGAGAGATAGAGACAGGCCGATTAATGAGAAACATAGGTAGACCCTGTTCCTTAATTCACACGTCACTGTCTCTCTCATGATGAATACAGATAGAACAAGTGAACGAGGAGAGAATTAGAAGGGAGAATATACATGGTGTATAGCAGAGAGAGAGAATAATTAGTGTCTTTGTTTCGCTTTGTTTTCTCATCGGTAGGAATCAGGGTGATGAGTGAATAGGAGATGGGGAGGAGGAAAACGATGAGGAGGAGGAATGGAGGAAAATGGGGTACAGAAAGAGGAGGAGGATGAGGGCAAGAAGGAGGAAGAGGAAGGGGAGGAGGAAGAGGGGTACATCCTTTAGATAAATTAGATCGTATGTGTTACACCCCCTTTACCCATGGTGTCGACACAATACTCCCTCACATCGATCCTGATGCCTTTCTACAAAACTCACTGGGCTACACCAACCCAAACTGTAACTATTATTTTCCTGACTCCCCCGAGTTTAGTTCTAGTCTCCTACTACCT